GATGAAGGGAGTGAATCTGAATTCGACCAAGTCTTAGATCAACTTGGAAGTTGCCTCATCCAGCCTAGTTTTTGGCACTTTCAGCTCTCTGGTTGCAAGATTTGGGTTAGTTTGGCTGTAAAGAGGGACAAGAATTCCTTGAGTAAGCCCAAATTGCCTAACAAATTAGGGAAGGCAATAGGTTTCAGGAATACACTTATAAGCTCAAAAATTCAAGGTACCAATGTAAAGCTCCCTTGGAATCAGTATAGAGGCCCACATATCTCTGTGAAAGGGGTTGGAACAGGTGCTGTCGGCCAGGAAAGTCCTAGGCCATGTTGACCCTATATTAGCCGCAAAGGGGCAGAAGAAAGTGGAAAGGGGGGAAGCTGGGAGTTGATGAAAGAAAGTGAGGTAATAAGCAAAGCTAGAAGAGCAGAGTGAGACTCTAGCATACTTCATTCCATAGGTAGTAGGGTCTTACACCAAGAATCTCAAGCACTTGGAATGTAAGTCAGTGAAATAAGCAAAAAGGCAGAGTTGCAATGCCCAGAGGGGCAAATATTGGGGTAAATTTTGACCCAATATATATAAGGAGCTAAGGCTATCTTCTTATCCAAAGCAAGAGCCTTGGCAAGAGGGGCAAATTTTGGCATAATCCTCTGTGAGGAGGTACAAAATAAAAATTTGCAAAGCCAATATAAGAGAAAAGGAAAGAACTCCCGATCAGTCACAAGACCTTCCCTTTTATTCTCAGACTTCACAAAATCACTAAAGGTGAGGTCAGAAGGGGGAATAGAGAAGGGAACATTAAGATCAAGATAATCAGGACCGAAAGGAGTACCAGTAGGTGATAACCATAGAAGATGGCACATATCAAGGATAGTGGAGGCCCATCATGCCACACCGAAACTAGAAAAAATTGAAAGCTGGATTTCAAAAACAAAGTGCAATAGGTATGAGAAAAAGGTCTTCAAGAATAGAAAAGCTAGCTAGTCGATCGAGGAGATAGAGTTCTTGGAGGTCCAGCTTCCTGGCAGGAACAACTCGGTCATACCATTCCTTTCATTCTAGCCTTAATGTGGGCTAGCAGGGATGTGGACGGTTCATTCTCCAGTTTTCCCAATCAAGGTCACCTTTGTAAAGGAGGCATTGATCCTCTAAGCGCGGGTACAAAGCAGGGAGTTGGACAGGATCTTCTTTGAAAATGAGTCCAAGAACAAACTCCCCTTGAGCATGATGATGGGGAATAAAGATGCGCCTATCGATAGCACACCGTTCACCGACTTTGTATTTGTCACATTCTTCGTTAATGATTCTCCTTAAAACCACATATGGGATCGCACGCTCGACGACTGGTATTTTGGAAGAAGAAGCCATTAGCGAAGGGTTGAAATAAAAAAGTGAGTGGAAGGGCAAAAAGTTGCAGATGGGAGCAACATGAGTAAAAAGAAAACTTTGGACAAGCATGCAAATAAAGCGTAAGAAGGGGGGGTTTAAAACCTTTCTACCCAAAGTTACTCATTTAATATAATGGGTTAAATAGACCAAAGTTCTAACTCATGTGTGATTAAGACTTTTGTTTTAAAATTCCTAAGAACACAAGGAAGAAACTATTTTTGAACTAGTATGTGGATACCTTATGAAGGAGGGAAACACATTTCAAACACTCAACTTAGCTTCAAAAATGGTTAGTTGGCTTCGAAGCCAGTTTTCAAATACTTGGCTTGGTTTTGAAAAAGGAAGTTAGCTTCGAAGCCAGTCTTATACCTTAAATTCAAGCATAGCTAGGATTTATTAACTTCGGAATTCTTGAAGGTGTGCTTTTAGGCTTTCCATAAAAGGTAAAATCCTGCGAAGGAGTTTTATAGCATTCTATAAATAGAATATGGTTCTTGCTTGGTTTTTGGACTTCAAAGTGAATAAGCATTGCAAAGCCAGCATTTGGTTAAGTAATGTGAAAATTTCAAAGGCCAAGAGGACTTACCCATACATGAAAGTGCTTTCTTGGCTTTTCTACTAAAAGAAATCTTTTCAAAGACAGTTATTGTCACTTTAAAGAGAGATTCCATGCTTCGAAATCACTTAAACCAGGCTTCGAAGCAAAAAATGGTTAATTCGAAGCTATTGACCACACAGATTATGTGAACAAAGTAAGAGCATATTAATTGGAATATGAAAAACCCAGTTGTATTGATATAGATATTTACATTGAAGAGGCCTACTTGGCTACAAATTCAATTTTGTAATAACAAAGGATTGAAAGAGTAACAAGTTCATTAAATTTAACCCAGCAATATTCTATGAACTTATGTTCTTTCTTTATTCTATCTTCAATTCTATCTAAATTGGGTTGTTGCAGTTGATATGCCCTTATTTGGTGAAAAAGCTACTCAGTTTTCATCTCGAACTCCGTCTCTTTCAAATCTTGCTCTGTCTTATCTATGTCCACATCATCCCAGTATGCTGAGTCCTTATTCTTGAAGGCGTCATATTCTTCAAGAAGGTTCTCTGCTTTATATTGCGTTTGAATCCGATTGGTAGCGATTTTGTCCAGTGAGTCATTGGTGGCCAAAGAGTTTTTATGCTAGTTGAATAGGAGAGGAAGTTGGTCCAAGAAGGTATGGAGTTCTATTTGGGCTATAGGGTTAAGAGCATGACCTCGAGACACAATGTCGCAAGCCCATAAGAAGTTCCGGTAAGGAACATCATCTCCAAGGAATTCGAAGGGCAGATAGGAGAAGGCGACACGCAAAAGTTGAGCCTTATATTGCTGAAATGCAGTTAGAGGAACTAGAGGTTGATAGGAAGAGAAATGCTGACCCTCGAAGAGAGTAAGCTTCAATTCTTCCATCTAGTTCGGGTTTTTAGGAAGAGGGGGTGCAGAAGGGTCCATCCAAAAAGAATGAGGGAACTGGGGGTCATTCACCATCTCCAACCAGTCAAAAGAACAATGTTTGTCTTTCTTAGCAAAAAATGAGGGACTAAATCGCAATGCTTCGGCTAGATGCGGAGTCTTCTGCAATATTCTAGTTGGTAGAGAGAAAGTATACCACACTGAAAGTAGGTTGTCCTCCAAACAACGGCGGTGATCAATGGGTACGTAAGAATATACTACTGAGCTTCGAGAAGAAGGAGACACCAGAAGAGGATTGTCAAATTCAACGATTCTATGATGAATCCGCTTTCTTATTTGAGGTTGAATTGGTGTTAACCAAGCATCCTAACTAGTATTTCCAGAAGAAGATGAAGCAACTTCATCCCATGTAAAGAGTTTTGGAGCAGATGAAGAGCTTCCAAGATCCATTTGTGCAAATGCTTGGTTCAGAGGTTCGTGCGCTGCAAAAACTTCCATAACTTGTATAAATGGGGGCGGACAAGTGTGGCCAATAAATGCATGAAGGTTCTTTCAAGGACGGTTGTCATTATCAAACACCTCCTCGTATGCTCGATCAATGTAAGAGAAGACTTGATTGGCCATTGAAGGTGTATTCGTCTTCTCGTATTCGTAGATAATGGATGGAATGAAAGAATTTAATGAAGTTCAGTGTTTCATTTTTAAGAAGATGGTTATGCTTCAGCCAAGTCCATACACGTCTTAGGACGTGGATAGAGTGCGTTGATCCACTAATATCACCAAGTATTGGGTATATTAGTGTGGAGGGTAATGTTGGCTACATATTTTGTCCAGGCTAATCGCAGCTTAACACGTGGCTTGAAAAGGGTAATTTGGGGAGTTAATGCAAGTCTCCAACCAACGATAGACACGTGCAGTTCATATTGGTATTGGTGGGTCTGCATCGCATGGAAGCAGTTAGAAGGCGCGAAGTGACGTGGCTCAACGGTTACTGATAATTCAAATTCAAATTCAAATTCAAGAGGGAAGCCCAACTGCAAAGAGGGTGTCGTAGGAGCAAATTGTTCAAGGCCATAACCAGAGATCGTGGAAGTGCATTTCGGCGGTTAGAAGCCCACTTCGACGGTTACCATAGGAAAGTATAAATAGAGGAGAAGGCCCCAAAATGAAGGACTCAAACTCAGATCCAGATCCAGAAACTAATTTATTTACTTCATATTTCTTTCCAGTTTTACATTTCCAGTTCTTTACATTTCAGCACTTCAATTCTTGTGCCGCACTTCATTTCCTAGGAGTAGTTTCAAGTAGTCGTTGATGTAAACCTTTTCAAGGCTAGGTCATTGCATTCTAAGCTCCTATTTACTTAATGAAATTCAATTTATGAATTATTCTGTACTTGTTATTTCTTATAGCTTTCTCTTAAAATAAGCCACCAGCAAAAGTCCTCTTCATTGAGGCAGAAAGAACTTCAATACAATTGTCTGATAATTAGTTGGCAATTAAAATTTTGTAAGGACTGATTGATCCTTGCTGGCATGCTTAAATTTACACCATTAACCCTTGAAAGCCAAAAAAGCCAACAACTACACCAAAAAAAAAAACAAAGCAAAACAAAAAACCAACAAATTTCCCAAACACAACTTTTTTTAGCTAAGCTAAAATAATCAAAAAGTCAAATAGCCAACTAAAATAACTAACTTCCCAAACAAGGCCATTAATAATTAGAATCAAATTTTTTTCACAATTCTGTAATTTTTTTTGGGCGCTCAGTTCAAAAATCCAATATTGAAGTTTTTTGGTCTAATAGTCCACGTGTGAATTTACTTTGTCCATAAGGACATGATTCTACAAAAAGACCGAATTACTCATTCTCCATTAGTACAAGTGCCTCCAAATCTCTTTTTACATACCATGTAATAAACATACAATCTATTCAAATCCCAAACCTGTTATCTCCTTTCTCTTCATCTGAATAGATCGGCAATAAATCTAAGGCCCCTTTTCGCTGCTACTACTTCGAAGAAGACCAAAGACAAATGTAGAAGCAGTGGACTTCGAGCTGGAGGATGACGATCTCATGGACGAAGACGACACTGCTGACATCGACGCTACTTTGCCTAGGTCTCCTTTTTCAAAGCATAAGTCTGCCATTGCCAGCGACTCATCATTCGCCACCACCATTGCTCTCAAGAAGACCAAAGGCTGCGATTTCTAAGAAGAGTCTGATGCCAATCGCAACAATCACTTGTCCGGTCACTTCGACTCTCTCAACTTCGATGGTGGCCCCAATGTCAGTTCTCTCTCCTACTCAACGAAGATCGGCAATGAAGATATAGATCTTATAGATCTTATATGTCTACGTTTGGGAAGAAAAAAAATAGCCAAATTTAGGCTAAAAATCACAAAAAGACAAAATAGGCTAAAATAGCTAATAAGACAAAATATCACATCAAACCCATAATCATTTCACTTTTTCTCTCACAAACATCACATCCAACCACAAAAAAATCCAATCATTTTCCCAAACACAAAAATTTTAGCCTACTTAAAATAGCCAAAAACTAAAATAGCCTACTAAAATAGCCACTTCCCAAACGAGGCCAATGTTTCTTATATTTTTCTCTATGTCCATCTCCACTGGCAATCTCTTCCTCAACCACTACCTCTGTATTTCCTTTGTCGCCAATCTACCACTATATGTACATCCTTTGATCTGAGTTGAAACCCTAGGGTGAAACCCTAAGTGGAACATATGTACTCTCTCATTCATCTCACAAGTGGCATGGCGTGGGAAAATCGAAATCGATGGATCAAATTTGGTTTTATTATACAGTTTGGCATCTTGTAATCATTGAATGTGATAATATTGGTGATTCTGGTCCTTTTAATTCAAAACCTCAAGATATTGATGTTGAGAAACCTTTTGGCAAGGATTTGGGCTCAATTGAGGAATTGAGTGCGTATATTGGAGAGTTTTTTGATGAACTACAGATTTATCATATTGATCACTATTTCGGCATCAATTTCCCATTCTCATTCATCTTCTCTCTCTCTCTCTCTATATATATGTACCTGTAATGTATGTACATATGTGTGTATGTATTAATACTAAGAGAAAGATGAATTAGAGAAACCCTATAATTTGAGTGTATGAGGTTTCAGAATCAAAACGCATAAAAGAGTTACGATGATTCGCGAGCTCTTTCTGTCATCTTCAGCAATGGACACAACAAATCCCATAGTACTTCAACATACAGATATTTTATATTTATTTTTCCATTTTCTAATTTGTTGGTTTTAACAGATCAAATCGATTTTAACAGATAAAAAATTTGTGTTGTTGTTGTAGTGGATAATCCCTCAATCTCTCTCTTCTTCCCCTATCTCTCTCTACAACTCTCTCTTTTAGATCTTTTTTTTTTTATTTTTTTAATGCAAGTTTAGATTGTTGTTGATAATAATAATGAAAAAATAGATTATTGTTTGTAGTTATTGTGTTGAACAGATAGGAGAGAGAGAGAGAGAGAGAGAGATATTTGAACAAATAGAAAAAATAATAATTTTTAAACAAAGAGGTTTGGTTTGGCTTGGTATTGCAACAGATAACTCTCTCACCTCTCTAGCAATTGCAACCGACATATACAAATCTTCAATAGATAGAAAAGATTTTGACATCAGATAGAGTTGTTTGACAAATAAGAATAAAATTTGAACTGAAAAGATTAAAAAAAAAAAATTGAACATATAGAAAATAAGTTGAACAGAAAGATATAAATTTAAACAGATAGTCAAAAAAATTCAACAGATAAAAAAAGTCAACAGATAAATTAAAAGGGTAAAATTATAAATAAAAAGGACTTTTCATCAAACTATTTTACAAATGGTGAATTTCTCACCAATAAAAAAATCTATTGGACTAATACCTTATACTGTTGTGTTTAGCTTGAAGATTTGGAAAATGAAAAAGAAAAGATGTGTAAAATTAAATAAAATGTAAGTATATTTTATTCATATTTAACCAATATTTTTTTTGCCCTCTTTTTAAATTTCTTCTTAAATCTCTCAATTAAATACAGTGTTAGATTAGATATATCACTATTTTTTAAAAAAAAAAATTATTATCAGACAACTCATGGGTAATTTCCTTTTTTTTTTTAATTTGTTATTTACATTTAATTCAAATTGTTTTTGTTTTTTGTTTGCATTTGAGGCTGCAGAGAATCTCTGATCCCATAAAGATCACCTAATCATTTGTCGTTTGCATAACAATTTTCGTTTTATTCTTTTAATCTTGATTACGTTTCGCGCACACAGTCACCATTCACAAAATACAAACACCACACCACAGCACACCGAGTAAGGATCCTCTACTCTTCTGGTGTCTTTACTAGCCTCTCTTATTGCAACAGTCAAGATTCATTTTAAGAGATTTTAACAATCTAAATCACTTTATTAAACAAAAAAAAAAGTGATCTAGGTAGTTCCATTAGTATTTTAATAATATTGTGATTGAAAAAAATATTAATAAAAAAATAAAATTTATAAATTTATATTAAGGTTAGATTTGACATCTTTTAAAAAAGTCAAAAAGTCACTATCCTATTTAAATTACATTATCTTATTTAAGTCACATTATTTTTCTATCACGTCACTTTAAATCTAATTCATATTTTATAAAAAGTCAAAAAGTACACTTATTTAGAATATCTTAAACAATTCCTAAATAATTAAAAAATATAAAATATATGATAAATTATAATTGGTTTGAAATATCACTCCGTGACGCTTCAGTCCAACGAATATTTTTTCCCACGCGACACCTTTTCTCTCTCTTACACCGCCCCCAACCTAACGGCGATCATTCAGCAAAATTTCCCCTTTGCAGTGTCTATCAATGTCTCTGTAACTCCCTAAAAAAAACCCTAATTTCAAACCCCGCAATGCTTTAACCAACCTATCATCATCATCATCCCAATCAATGGATTCAAAGCAGCTCATTGACTCTCTCACCTCACACATCTCTCTCTACCACTCTTCTTCATCTTCATCCTCAAACCCTAATTCTAATCCTAGATCGTCAATTCTCAAATGGTTCTCTTCTCTCTCTGTCCATCAACGCCAAGCCCACCTCACCATTGTCGATTACCAATTCGCCCAAGTTCTCCTCCAAATGCAGGGGAAGCTCCAAATGCAGGGTCAACGAGCAACTCTAGTCAGGAAAACAGTTCCATACCACCCTGCTCCGAATGTAGCAAAAGACATAAGGGGGTTTGCTACAAAATTTTTGGGGCATGTTATAGGTGTGGCAAGGTGGGTCACATGGTCAAAGATTGCCCTTCCACGTCTTAAGGCAATAGTAAGGCTGCAGCTAGTGCCACAGCATCAACTGTTACACCGAAACCCAATCCCAAAGCTACTAAAAAGGAGCCTTTAAGGCAAGGCCGGGTGTTTGCACTTGTACTGGGAGATGTACAGAACGCCGAGACAATTGTGTCAGGTATACTCTCAATCTATGCCCAAAATGCCTATATTCTGATTGATTCGGGGTCTACACATTCATTTGTCTTGCATACTTTTTCACGAAAATTAAATAGACCACTGGAACCCATGAACTATTTGTTAGTTGTATCTTCACTTACTGGGGGATCCATGACTTGTGCTTATGTGTATCCTGCATGTGAGATTGTTATTGGGGATGCACTTTTGTATATTGATTTACTGCCTTTGAATATTGACCATTTCGATGTAATTTTGGGAATGGACTGGTTAACAAAATATCATGCTTCCATAGACTGTGTAACGAAACAAGTTGTTTTTCGTCTACCTGGATTGCCTGAATTTGTATTTAACGGTGTTGGAGTAGTATCTCCCCCATACCTGAATTCGTCCATGAAAGCATTCAAATTAATTAAAAAGGGGTGTAAAGGGTATTTATGTTGCATATTGACTGTACCTACTGATACTAAAGCTAATGTGGATAGTATTCCTATAGTTAGAGAATTTTCAGATGTTTTTCCAGATGACTTGCCAGGGGATTTGATCGATAGGTAGATTGAATTCACTATTGAAGTGTTACCGGGTACACAACCAATTTCCAAAGCTCCGTACAGAATGGCACCTACGGAATTGAAAGAATTGAAAATACAGCTGCAAGAATTGTTGGATAAGAAGTTCACCAGGCCCAGTACTTCACAGTGGGGCGCGCCATTTTTATTTGTGAAAAAGAAAGACGGCTCATTAAGAGTCTGCATTGACTACCGCGAATTGAACAAGGTGACAGTGAAAAACAAGTACCTATTGCCTCGTATTAATGATTTGTTTGACCAATTGCAAGGTGCTTAGGTTTTCTCCAAAATTGACCTTAAATCCGGATATCACTAGTTAAAAGTCAAAACAGAGGACATTGAAAAGACCACCTTCCGAACGAGGTACGAACATTATGAATTCCTTGTTATGCCTTTCGGAGTTACTAATGCGCCTGCTGCATTTATGGATCTTATGAACAAAATTTTCAAACCATTCCTCGATGAATTTGTGGTTGTTTTTATAGATGACATCTTGATTTATTCCAAGAGTAAGGAAGAACATGAATGTCATTTGAGAATTGCTTTACAGACCTTAAGAGAATAGAAACTCTATGCAAAACTAACAAAGTGTGAATTTTGGCTTGATAATGTGATGTTTTTGGGACATGTGATTAGTAAGGATGGCATCTCAGTTGACCCACAGAAGGTCGAAGCTGTGGTGAATTGGCCTAGACCGACTAATGTTACTGAAGTTTGGAGTTTCTTGGGCTTAGCCGGGTACTGCAAAAGGTTTGTGAAAGATTTCTTCAAAATCGCTCTACCATTGACTCAATTGACTGAAAAGGGAATATCATTTGACTGGACCGATCAAAGAGAATCAGCTTTTCAAGAATTAAAGACTCGACTTGTGACTGCACCGATTCTTACCCTACCTTCAGGTACAGATGGATTTACTATTTTTAGTGATGCTTCTCATAAGGGTTTGGGATGTGTGTTAATGCAAAATGGTAAAGTAGTTGTGTATGCTTCCCGACAACTAAGACCACATAAGAAGAACTACCCGACTCATGATTTAGAACTTGCCGCAGTGGTATTTGCATTGAAAATTTGGCGCCACTACCTATATGGGGCAACATGTGAGGTCTACACAAATCACAAGAGTTTGAAATATTTCTTTACACAGAAAGAGTTAAACATGAGACAGCGGAGATGGTTAGAACGGATAAAAGAGTATGACTTGCAAATTTTATGCCATCCGGGAAAAGCTAATACCGTTGTTGATGCACTTAGTCGGAAATCAATTGGGAATTTGGCCTATTTACTCACTGGACAGAAAGAACTTGTAACAACCCTCATACTGTTTACTGATTAATGACCGATTGATCACCGATTACTGTTAAACGAGACTGATAATGACTGATAACTGACTGATAATTGAACTGATTAAAAGTACTGAACTGACTGACTGAAACTGGAAACCGAATTGAACCCATAGGGCCGGGTTTGGGTCGTGACAGAACTGCTATGTGATCTTGAGAAATTTGAAGTTGACATTGTTTTACGAGAACAAGGTGGGACATTGGCTGCTATTTCTGCCCAACCAACACTTATTGAGGAGATTAAAGAGAAACAACACCAAGATGACTTTTTGAAGAAGGTCATTGATGAACGGGAATCCAAACCAAGGCCAAACTTTAAATTCGAAAACAATGTATTGAAATTTCAGGGAAAGTTGTGTGTACCAAATGATTCTGAACTGAAAAGGCAGATTTTGCAGGAAGGCCACAACTCAAAACTTTCCATCCATCCAGGGAATACAAAAATGTACCAAGACTTGAAACTTAATTTCTGGTGGCCGGGAATGAAGAAAGAAATTGCCGAGTTTGTGTCGAAATGTCTACATTGCCAACAAGTCAAAACTGAACATCAACGACCCGCAGGCTTACTGCAGCCCTTACCAATACCGGAGTGGGAATGGGAACATATTACTATGGATTTCATTGTTGGATTACCTCGCTCCAGTAAAGGTATGAATTCAATTTGGGTTATTGTTGATCGATTGACTAAATCTGCTCACTTCTTACCTGTCAAAACAATTTATAAAGCGGTCAAATTGGCTACAATTTATATTGATGAGATTGTCAGATTGCATTGAGTGCCTGTGTCTATTGTTTCTGATAGGGACTCGAAGTTTATATCGAGATTCTGGCAAAGTCTGCCAATGTCTTCCATATTTCAATGTTGAGGGACTATCTCTGGGATCCCATCTATGTTATTGAGCCTACCCGTGTGGTACTGAGCGATGACTACACTTATGAAGAACGGCCTATCCAGATTATATACCGACGAATCAAGAAATTGAGAAATAAAGAAATTCCGTTAGTGAAAGTGGATTGGCAAAACCATGGTGGCATTTATGCCACTTGGGAAAGGGAAGACGATATGGTGAAGAGATATCCTGAATTGTTCCCTCTGGATCTAGTGTTTTTTCAAAATGAAGGTAATCCGAGTTTGGAGAACCAAACTCTTTTAAGGGGGGAAGACTGTGACAACCCTCACCTCTGATTAGTGTTAAATTGTGATTAAGCATGATAAGTAATTGATTAAGATGAAATCCTGAACTGATTTCATGAGTGTATTGCTTTAATTTCATTTTTATCTGTTTGTCATTGAATGATCTGTTCATGTTTTGATTTCGAATTGCGAATTGAAAGCCATATCGACGACCGATTCAGAAATTGATTGGTGTTTTATGCTAATTAAGAATTGTAGGATTTTATGGTAGGTTTAATTAAAATTCAATTTGGAATGATTAAATTAGAATAAATAAAGTTAAGTTACATTAGCTTGAGTTTATTACTTGTTGCCATTAGTGGGCACTCTCTAAGCCATTAGTTGATTTCATGTTTGGCACTATCATTTTACCATCCCCTCTAGACCAAAACCGTGAGAGAGAGAGAGAGACTAGGGGAAATTGAGTTTATCTAGAGTTTGGCTTGGATATTTAGAGGAATTGAAGGAGGATTGCATTTTTTGAGCTAACACACTTGGAATTCAAGACTTAAGGTAGGAAATTCATTCTTTTAATTATGAATTTAAGTTATTACATGCATGGTTCATGGAAGAATTGGTGATTAGAGTCAAGAACTAGCTTAAAGTGTGGATTTGAGAGTGAAGTCATGCATACATGTCCATATCATAGAGTTTGAAGTTATTGTTCATGAAATTCTTACATGCATGTTCATATCTTAGTTGTGGTCCAAGAATTCACAATGTTTTAGAGTTCAATCTTGCATTTGATCATGTTTTGGAGCATTTGAGTTCATGAGAACTCATGCATGTTATGTTTTTGCATTGTTCTTCAAGTTTCATTCAAAATTGGTGTTCAATTGTCACACCCTTGGGCTTGATTTTATAAAAATGATCTTCAAAACATGTTGTAGTATGAGTTTCTAAGTGTTTTCCAGAAATTGGCACAAAAGGATGAGTTTTGGCATGTTTGATTCTTGGTTTGAGCTTTGGAAGCAAATCTGGAAAACCCAGATTTTGGCTTCCACGCTCGAGCAAAGGATTCCACGCTCGAGTGACCACCTTTGTTCTCAGACTCTCGCTCGAGCGACAGAATTCTGGCTCGACCGTAGGTTGCAAGCTCTCAGGTTCTTTGCGTGTGCAGACGTAGGCTCGAGCGACGAGGCCTACGCTCGAGCGAGGAACTATGTCTCACGCTCGAGCGAGCATCGAGCGGAGAATTTCAGCAACCAGTACTTTTTGCATTTTTACAGACCGCTCTAGCGAGGGATTCTACGCTTGAGCGACCCCTCTGTTTTGGTAAGCTTGCTCGAGCGGAGAAAACCACGCTTGAGCGAGACCCCTATTTTCAGCAAATTTTGAAAAGTGTTTTAAAGTACATTTTTGCATCCTCATTCCATCCTAGGCATTCATAGGCCATGTTTAAGGCACTTAATGAGGATAAAGTTATAGAACCACACCAAGCCATATAGGGGCTAAGTTGTTAATCCCAAGTATGTAACTTAGTGTGTGTTCATTCTGCAACTGTGTAGGGTTGGCACCCGAGGACGCTGACTAGCCTATCTATAGCCCAGTAATCTGTGAGTAACAATGTTGTAAAGATACATTCAATTATAATTATTTTTAAACAATTGACTGTACTGTTTTTTGAAATGATATTATTTACCGAATGAATGTTTGTCCTATTTGTAAACTGTACTCGTGGCATCCATAGCAACTTACTGTTACTGTTACTGTTACTGCAACTGTTACAGAGATCTCTGTCAGTTTCAATGTTTGGAACTACTACTGTTTACTGTTTTGATGGCCATCAACTGACTGTTCGGTCTATTAAGACCTACTGTACTATTCTGTTATTGGATGTACCACGTATGATTGCTATGATTTCTAATTGACTGATATGACGTAAAATATGAAACATTGATGGAATAACTGATCTACAGATGCTAATGACTATTTTAATTACTGAAAGGATATTCATTCTTAACCCCTTTACACAGTTGTTATTCACTGGCTTTAGCTCACTGTTTATATATGTATGTAGGTGACCAGACACCAGACCGAAGCTAGGAGCGTCAAGTTAAGCTCTCGTTTTGTCAAGCCATCCATTGTGCCTCACTTTGAGGTTCCAAGTCTGTTCAAGCCAAGGCTGTTTTGGGGTGTCTCAGATTCACCTTTTTTGTCTCTGTTTTGTAACGAATGCTTTAGACTTTTGACTATACAGTTTTGGTGAAGGGATTGGATCCCTAACCTGTATGTTACGCGTATCTGATATGTATATATGTTTATGGTTATGATGTGGACTAGTCTATAAAAGTCTTTTTTCATTCAGATTTTCACAGCTCATTGGACATATTTTATTTACTGTTTGGTTTCCGCCAGCCCCTTACTCTGTACTATTGTTATTACTGTTAAGCAGGCCTTTGGTAATCACGGATTACTGGCTGGTTACGATGCTAAACCCTTATGGGCAAGTTTGGGTCGTGACAGGATCGTCACAGTCTCTCCCCCTTAAAAAGTTTGGTTTTCCAAACTTAAGTGACCTTCTGATGGAAACAAATGCGGATATCGTTGCCGCATCTCTTCCTCTTTCTCCCAAGTGGCCTCCTTCCCATAGTGTTCTCTCCATTCAACCTTCATCATAGGAATATTTTTGTTTCTCAATTGCTTCACCTGCCAGTCAATGATTTGCACAGGCCATTCTTCATACATCATATCCTCATCTAGAGCAATCCGATGGTAATCAATCACATGGAACGGATCTCTAAGATACCCACGAAGCATGGATACATGGAAAACGTTATGCACTTGTTCCATTCCCAGTGGCAGGGCAATACAATAAGCAATAGGACCCAACCTCTCAAGGATTTGAAACTGTCCAATGTAGCGAGGAGTCAGTTTTCCCTTTTTGCCAAACCTCATATGCCCCTTCATTGGGGTCACCTAGATTAATACATGATCTCTCACTTCGTACTCTAAGTCCCTTCTTTGTTGATCTGCATTGCTTTTCTGTCGACTCTGTACAGTTTTGAGCCTTTGCTGAATGATTTTGATCTTTTAAGTCGTTTCTTGAACGTGTTCAGTCCCATAAATAGCTCTATCACCAACTTTTGTCCAACAAACTGGCGATCTACACTTTCTGCCATATAGTGCCTCATATGGTGCCATACCGATGCTCGCGTGAAAACTGTTAGTATAAGCAAATTCGGCTAACGGCAAATAAGTTTCCCAACTTCCTTGAAAATCCAATACACACATATGAAGCATGTCTTCTAAGGTCTAAATAGTTCTTTCGGTTTGCCCATCGGTTTGTGAATGAAATGCTGTACTAAATCTCAATTTTGTTCCCATTGCCTCCTGCAAACTATGCCAAAATCTAGAAACAAATTTTAGGATCCCTATCTGATACAATAAATACTGGAACCCCATGCAGTCGAATAATCTCATCAATGAAGATAGTGGCAAGTCTATAAGCAGTAAATGAAGTCTTTACCGCAAGAAAGTGAGCAGATTTAGTCAATCTATCAACTATAACCCAAATAGAGTCCATGCCTCTAGGTGTCGGAGGTAGGCCAACAACAAAGTTCATGGTGATATGTTCCCATTTCCATTCTAGAATAGGGAGAGATTGAAGCAAACCTGCTGGTTTCTGATGTTCTGCTTTTACCTACTGGCATTGTAAGCATTTAGAGTTGAATTCGGCAATTTTCCTTTTCATGTTGGGCCACCAATACACTAACTTCAAGTCTTTGTACATTTTGGTATTTCCTAGACGCATAGTAAACATGGACTTTAGAGCTTCTTCCAAAATTTTCCTTTTCAAATCCACATCATTCGGGACACACAATCTCCCATGATATTTCAACACGGAGTCTTCAATTATGAACCCCGATTTAGGCTTGGTGTCAAGCTCATCACAAATTTTCTTCAAAAACTCATCGTCCAACTGTTTCTGTTTAATTTCTTCAATAATAGCGGGTTGGGCAAATATGGTGGCTATCAAGCCATTTGGTTCAAAAGGCACCACTTCAATTTCGAGTTTTTCAAACTCCAGCAATAGCTCTCTTTGACCTGTGAGTTATCAGGCAAGTTTCCCCACATTCTTTCTACTAAGTGCATCTGCTACAGTATTAGCTTTGCCCAGATGGTAGTGAATCTGTAGGTCATAATCTTTAATTAGTTCAAGCCATCGCCTTTGACGCATGTTCAACTCCTTCTGTGTGAAAAAGTATTTCAAACTCTTATGAATCTATATATACTTCACATTTGACCCCATGCAAATAGTGTCGCTATATCTTTAATGCAAACACAATTACAGCAAGTTCCAAGTCATGTGTAGGGTAATTCTTTTCATGGGGTCTCAACTGTCGAGAGGCATATGCAACAACCTTGCCATTCTGCATTAAAACACAACCCAAGTCCTTATAGGATGCATCACTAAAATCACAAAATTTTCAGTACCTGAGGGAATAGTAAGGATTGAGGCTATAGACAGTCTTGTCTTCAGCTCTCGAAAGGCTGTTTCTCTCTGATTCGTCCACTGAAATAGTTCCCATTTTCGAGTCAACTAAGTCAATGGCACAACAATTTTGAAAAAATCTTTAACGAATCTCCGGTAATACCCTGCCAATCCCATAAAACTACGAACTTCTGATACATTAGTTGGAGTAGGCCAGTTAATAATAGCTTCAATTTTATGAGGATCCACAGATATACCATCCTTATTAATAATGTGCCCCAAAAATGCAATTTCATCAAGCCAGAATTCACACTTTTTGAATTTCCCGTACAATTGTTTTTCTCTAAGAGTTTGAAGAGTCAGTTTCAAATGTCATTCATGCTCCATTTTACTTTTCGAATAGATCAAGATGTCATCAATGAATAAAACAACAAAGTCATCTAGGAAAGGTTTGAAAATTCTATTCATTAAATTCATAAATGCTGCAGGCGCATTTGTAACCCCAAATGGCATGACTAAAAACTCATAATGTCCATACCTAGTTCGAAGAGCAGTCTTTTCAACATCCTCAGCCTTAACCTTCAATTGATCATATCCTAATCTCAAATCAATCTTCGAAAATATCTGTGCCCCCTGTAACTGGTCAAACAAATCATCAATACGCGGCAAAGGGTATTTATTTTTCACTGTTACCTTGTTGAGCTCTCGGTAATCAATACACAATAGGAGAGTTCCGTCTTTCTTTTTAACAAAAAGTACCGGTGCGCCCCAAAAGGATGTACTTGGTCTGATAAACCCTTTATCCAGCAATTCCTGCAACTGAATTTTCAATTCTTTTATTTCAGTGGTAGACATATGGTAGGGAGTTTTAGAAATTGGTCGAGTTCCTGGTATTACATCAATTATGAATTCGATTTCTCCATCAACAAGTTGGCTAGGTGTAGACTCGACTTTCTTCGCGCGCGCCCCCTTTTGGAGAGGCGCGAATTGGTCTCCTACAGTTCAGACTCCTGTCACGATTCTAAATTTAATCTCACAAAGTGCAATATGAGACTGATAAACACCAAAGAGTCTAATTCAGCAAATCATTTTGGAAAATTGATTTTAGATCAAATAATGTCAAAACTGGATTGTTTTGCCAAATTACAGAATCGCCACCTAAATATTTTTATTTTGAAAAATTTAGGAAACCCTGACTCATGCCAAAGGCCACGTGTCTGTCATCACCAAAGTTTTCTCAGCTCGGGAAGTTGGGTACAAGAGGGGAAGGTCCTGAAATGAGCACCCCCGCTCGTCCGATCAAAGGATCGGCCTTTACTAAGCATGATATGTTGTTTTATAAACCTCATATGTTCTTATCCGATTATTAGCTATCATTACTATGTGATGCGCACACAATCAAGTATAGACTAAATCGCGAGAATTAGAACAAAACAACTCATGTTTGTTTTCGGAAATAGTTTGAAGGTGTCACTCTCAAGTGGACTAAAATGCGGATTTGCCACCCTCGGGTGGGCTTAAACATGATTTGCCACTTCGTAAAGTAGGCTTAAAACTCACATTCATTGAATTGTTCCAATTCAAGCAACAAAGTCTTCATCCACAGGCATTCATGCAATTAATCATTTAAGCACATAACCTCATGGCAAGCATGCTATCATGGCAATACTCACACTCATGCAAGTATGCTAAAGCTTAAAACTTACAGAGTACTCGGAGTCAAAACAAAAAACTAGTTAGAAACAATGCATGGTCCTAACTATGTTAAGATGCCTAATGCAACACATGCAATATGCAATTGATAGGCTCGGCTATCTAAGATGGCATATGAATGCAACAACTAGATAACATGCTTTGAAACAGGTATTCAAATCGGTATTGAAATACAATGCGGTTTGAATGATGCGCCGAGCCTCGGTGCATGCAAGACAAATGAATGCTGCAACATGCAAAGCATAAGGTATGCTAATCGAAACGTGACCCTAAACTAACCATCGAAAATGGATAAATAAAAGGGAGAAAGACGTGGGGTTGGAAGACATGCACACACGCACACACGCTTATTACAACATTGAGCCCTCGCAAAGGAGGGTCCGATTGAATAAGCTAAGCTAAGCTAAGCTAACTAATCTAATTAAACTAATTAGACTAATTATTACACAACTAATTGAATAACTAGTAAACTATTTACTAATTATTACAACACAACATAAAGAAATAGCAAAGCTAAAGCTACTTAATTATTTCATAATCAATGCAAATTAACTAAGTAATTAACATATTAAACTACGCTGCTACTACTCTGCTCCGGGTTACAGAAGATGCATGCACTCGGTTCTCGCCCCGAAAAGCCCACCAGTTTGCTCTCGAGAGGCTCTGTTTGCGGGTTACTCCAAGAACTTTCTGCTCCACCTTACCAATTCACTGCTGAGGAATGCACCAGTGGCCTGCCGGCCATAAGTGCTTGTTGACGACCATCTGCCGACCAAAAAGAGGCACTGCCAGCCAAGGATGTAGCATTGTCGGCCATCAATGTACTAGTGCCGACCACTGGTGTGTTGAATTGCCACACTACAACAGAGCACAAACAGAGGAAAATTGAGGGTTTTCCAAGGATATGTTTGTACCATGCCCCTCCTTATCATCTCAAAACATCAAAGGAGTGGCACTCTTGGATCCAAAACCATCAATCAAGCATTTCAATGCATGATGGCCAAAGATCCAAATGTACACTTTCAATAAATGCACAAAATGAGACTCTAGGAACCATCACCCTATCATGCATGATCAAGGGTGATGGAGACAAAGGAGATTGGCTCATTTCATCACTTTGAGTATGAAATGGACCAATCTACCTTGTGTTCAATATAACGTCTGATTGAACACTATGCGATGTAAACACAACATGCTTATCTTAGTCATGTTTTACTTGTCCAATTCTTGTTTACACATTTTAACATTACCAGGCCATTCTTTAGTCAATTTGTCCAAGATGAGTGACCTCTAATGAGAAAGGGGTCAACCAAAAGATGGCTTAAGACATGAGAGAGATCATGCCTTTGGTTAGTAGAAACCCTCAAAAGAGAGCTAAACCATTGAGCACAAGCCTCAATCTCAAGCTTAAACACAATCTTAAGACTAACCAACCCTCAAAACAAATGAAAAGTGAAGAAATGAGAGAGGTTGCAGAATTTCAGTGCTGACATGGCATGAAAAATAATACTACAACATGTAAGCAACTCATGCACAGCATGTTAAGAGTCAAAAGCATTAAAGCTAGTGAAGAGCACTACACTAGAGGCATGCAATATCAAACTCAAATGACCAACCAGCTCTGGACAAAGCTAAAACATGCCAAATTAGAGGCTAAAACATGCTGAGATGGTAGTACAAAAGGTAAGAAAAACATGCTCACATGTTAGCTCATAAACAAGGCTCAAAACACAACTCTCAAAAACAATGAAAGAGTGAACTA